ACTTTCTACTACACTGACTGCATCAGCACTTAGCAAAGGAGCAAGGCTGAGGGACTGAGAAGAGCTGTCCTTGCTGAGCAAACTCATTTACACCAGGCTTTGGTGCTGTGTGTGGGCCGAGAGGTCTGAGCTGAAAGTGGTCTCTAGTCCTGTCCATTTCTCTTTATCAGATAAATCAAGTTACATATCATCTCCTCACAAAGGAAGAGTTCAGCTTTCACAGGATATTTAAAATGCAAGTCTAATGTACTTCGGACATGTTATCAGGAGGGACCAGTCCCTGGAGAAGGACATCATGCTTGGTAGAGGGTCAGCGAAAAAGAGGAGGACCCTCCACTAGATGGATTGACACAGTGGCTGCAACAATGGACTCAAGCATAATGATTCTAAGGATGGTGTAGGACCAGGCAGTGTTTTGTTCCGTTGTACATAGGGCTGCTATGAGTATGAAGTGACTCAGTGGCACCTAACAACAACAATAACAACAATTTTCTGATGGCTTCTAATAGGAAATAGTTGAGTATATGTTATTCAGATATAATCCAAACCAATTTAGGATTTAACTTTAGCCATTTAAGGTAAGGTCTCTGCTCTCCTCCCCCAGGCGGAAGCCCAGGTCGAGTTAGAAGGAGCCTGAAGGGTGCGGATTTGGGATCAGGTTCAAGGACACTTTCAGGGCCATGTATTCAGGGAATGAATAATCTGGGGAGTTAGCAGACCTCGCTCTGCCCTTTACCCTGCTGGCTGATTGGGGAACTCACTCAATATCTTTGTTCCCTGTTTTCTCCTTTGTGAAAAAGTGGTTAAGAACTCGGTTACTAACCAAAAGGTTGGCCGTTCAAAACCACCAGCCGCTCCTTGGAAACCTGAGGCAGTTCTACTCTGTCCTACAGGGTGGCTGTGAGTTGGAATCGACTTGACGGCAATGGGTTTGGTTTGGTTTGGTTCTACATGGAATTTTTCTTGTAAGATTCCTACCATCTTTGTGTGTGTGTGCGTATGTGCGTATGTGTGTGTGTGTGTGTGTGTGTGTGTGTGTGGTGGAGGGTAACCCTTGAACAATTTGATCTCCCAGGGGTCCCTCAGCATGAACACAGATCAGCTCTCCCTCTTAACTTTCCACGTTTCGCCCCTGCTATCAGAGCCTCTGGACCCACCTGACCCATGGAGTTACAGGATGTACTGCCCAGGGCCTGATACCATCACGGGGGCAGATTCCCAGCCTGAGATGTTGAGTGACTGTCTCTGAGGACACAAACTATTACTACTCGAATAACTGCACCCATACAGGTCTCAAAATGGCGGCAACATCACGTGGGGTGGCCACAATGTGTTAAGTGATGCACGTGATCAATTAAATTCAGTTTCCTGTCCCTGAAAATTATTTCTTGCGTTATTAACCAACCCGCAGGCAGTAGTGGAGGTGATATCTGGAGTTCTGATAGGTTTCGAGGTTTTGGGAAAGTCTGAAGAAATCATTTACTCAGTATGGATGTCATCAGGAGGAGCTTCTCACCGAGGAAAAATTAACCTCAGAGTTGAGCAGTGAACTGTGAATTCTGCCTGAACAGTTGAACCCACAGCGTACCAACCAAACCAAAACCTGTTGCCGTCGAGTCGGTTCCAACTCACAGCGACTCCATAGGTACTGTCTTCTTGGGGATATGGTACGTGTATCGTGGGATTGTGAGATAAATGGGATAATCCAGATAAAACACCTTGCATCCCCACCCTCTCACCCCCACCAAGCCGGCGAGGTGCCTGCTCAGAGCCTGCGCTAGGGGAGCTGAGACGGTCTCGGTCTGCTACAGAATAAGGCCTCAATAAATATGCTCCGAATGAATGATCGCCTGCTTTTCTCCTTTTGTTTAGTCACTCTGGTGCTGAGCTCCTGAAATAAATCCCAGACCCCGAATTCTTCCAGTTTCATTACGGGGTGGATGTACGGTGAGTGGGAGGGGAGTGAAGAATGAGCACGGGAACCTAGCAGATCCGATTAGGGAAGAAAAGGAAATCCTTAGAGGCAAAGGGCAACAAAGAGCGAGACCAGGTGAACACATGCGGGTTTCCAGGCGTCCCCCTGGAGCCCCAGCTCAGCGGCAAGGACCGTCTCCCCGCGGGGCTGTGGGCCTAAGCGCGGGACACGTC